GTTACGTTTGATTCTTAGCTCTCTGAGATTCACAGCCATATGTTAAAACTGACTTTATTTGGCATGAAAAAGAATTCTTGTTCTAATCTCCAGTGACATAGATTTATTGCATATCATTTCTTCATTTTGAAAAATACATCTAGGCATTAACATGTTGCAGTAAACAAAAATATCTGGGTGAAGAAGAAGAGTAAGAACAATTTGTTACAGTTCAGCGTTACCACCATAAAGTGCACATTTTTTGTACATCATACCAGCTGACCTACTGTACAGTTTAACCCATATAAAAAGTACACAGGATTATTCAAACTGATATATGTACTTTCATTCATGTATATCTCCTTGAGTATATATATATATATATATATATATATACATACATACATACATACATACATACATACATACATACATACATAATACATACATACATACATACATACATACATACATACATACATACATACATACATACATACATACATACATACATACATACATACATACATACATACATACATACATACATACATACATACATACATACATACATACATACATACATACATACATACATACATACAAGAGAGAGGTGAAGGTCTGAAGTTGTGAATACTACTGCTAGAGTGCATTTGCTTAACCAAACACTCTAGCATGCTCATGTCACAAATGACCCTTTAGTTCAGTTCAGAGTGTTGGATAAGTTCGGCTACCACTTAGATGTTTACAGAGCAGCAGCGGCACCATATAAACTCCTTAAGTTTGTAAGCTTTAGACTTTCCTTTCTCTATTGTACATGTATTTAACATGTAGTTTTTATTCAAGGAAATATACAAGAAAGAAAGTGTATCTAACATTTGGAATAACCCTGTGTGTGTATTTTTTAACCAAATTTAATTTCCTCAATTTTGATTCTAGACGCTGGAAGCAACAATGCCTTTGTTAGCATCAAAACTAACACCTTCCACAATTTCCAAACTGGCAGCATCCTCATCTGTGCCCAATCATTTAAAAAAACAGCAGCAGCAGCAACAAATAGCAAATGATTCAGCTGTATTCCTACCGTCAGTTGTTATATCTGCTGCACCATCTCTCTCACAGTCATCATCCGCCAGCTCGACAAGAAAGCAGTCTCAGACTGTAACTCAGGCAAAACATTCTGTAGAAGCACAGCAACAGCAGCAGCATAATGCTAGGCACCTGCCCCAACCACACGGAATAAACTTCCTACCAACAAGGCAACTTCAGTCAGATTCTGGAGCACTAAGTGACCATTCCTGGAACCACCAGCACACTCCACGACAGACAGATGCTCATCCGCAACCACTAGGGAACCAAGGAGAGCCGCATGCTTCCAATATGGACACACAGCAAACTTTAGAAAGACTCTTCCTACAGTCGAATGTAGGTGGTAATTCACTGGAAAGAAACATCCAGACAGATGTGCCTGTGAAAGTAGAAACCCTTGCCCAGTCAGTTCCCAAACATCACAGTTCCCAGCATGGTCACCAAAGAGCTGCAGCTGCAGAGTCATCTCAGATGTCCTCAGTTCAAGCCATGTTCACCAGCATCGGCCAGAACTATACAAATAAAGGCACATTTTCTATTGCCGGCCGAAATGTGCAGACACTGGGGGATGCTCACGCTGTGAAAACTCTGTCCTCAAAGTTCAAACCTGGAGAATCCAAACAAACTGCCATAGATGTTGACATGGACATCGGGCAGCTAGCGTCTATAACAGGTGATGGGGCAAGTGTCCACACAGATCCCTCATCTGCCTCTAACAGTGCTCATACGGCTACAAAGGATTTAAAACACAGTGGCTTGTATTCATTTGTAGACCAACAGTTTTGCAGCGCGCTCATTTCTGAGATCTCAGGCTCATCAACGGAGCATACAAATACCATGTCTAGAGACCTCCAGCCATTTATACCAGTGCAGACTGTTCAGTCTTCATCTTTATCATCATCTGTTGCTCCCCATTCATTAACGTCATTGTCATCTTTAGCTCACATCCCGAAACCAATTGTTCACGCAACTTCATCATCGTCATCGTCGTCGTCATCCTCCTCCTCTTCATCATCATCATCATCGATTTCAGTTGCAGCAGCAAGACTTCCTCCTCCTCCAGACTATATACCACCTCCTCCATACCCTTCCAAACTCAGCCAGAATCTGCCGCAGCAGCAGTTTACCAGTAAGACAGGGCAGAGCATGAAGCACTCGGTCCAGAATCCCTTCACATTTCCAACAACTGGGGTCAGAGTTCACACAGACCCCAACTCCTTGGGACTGTCCTACTCGTACCTGTCACAGCTAGGAAATGCTGTCGGTGGATCTAACGACATTAAGCAGGAGCTATGTGAGCCCTTTGAAGAACCCAATGATGAGCAGGCATACTTGAATAAGTCACACTCCGACAGCTCTGCCCTCTACACCAGACAGCGAGACACTGGTTACTCCTCACACAATGATATGCCTAGACTTCTCCCAGAAATATCCAGTATGAAAAAGGATGAAGTGTCCAGTATGAAAGAGGAAATCACTGAAGACCATTGCAACCACATGGAGAATATGACCAGTTCAGAAACAAGACCTGTGGTATGTTGTTTCACATTAGATTGTTGTTTTCAGGAACGATTGTTTAATGTTAGTTTGTTTTTATGAACAGGTTTTTAATGTTAAATTGTTTTAAAGAATGATTGTTTAATGTTTGTTTTTATGAACTGATGTTTAATGTTAGATTGTTTTCAAGAATGATTGTTTAATGTTAGTTTGTTTTTATGAACAGGTGTTTAATGTTAGATTGTTTTCAAGAATGATTGTTTAATGTTAGATTGTTTTCAAGAATGATTGTTTCCCATTAGTTTGTTTTTAGGATCAGGTGTTCATGTTTAGGCATGGGGCTCACAGCCCATGGTGCTGGCAAGTGTGACTGGCCAGAATCTGTACTCACAAGCTAAATGACGGTCTGAAACTGAACCGACAACCTTCAGAATTTGAGACAAACTGATTAGATTGAAGTTGGTGTTCCTTGCCCCTAGGCCGATTGGGACCTTTATTTTGAAAAGAACCCCCCAGTTTGCAACTCTGATGAATGGGGTTGTTTGGGGTTTTAGTGGGTCTTTTCTGTTTTTGGGTCTGTTCTTATTTTTTTCCCCAAAAAATGCCCTTTTAAACCCCAATGTCAATATCCTCCTGTCCGGGGGCCCAATGTAAAGGGTTTTTTCCTTCAGAACCAGCAGCACTCAAGTAATTTTTTTGAGCGTTTGGTCGTATGGTCAAGGGATTCCCCCGGCCCAAATAAACAAATTTCTTGGATAGGCAATCAAGTATTTGGGACTACAAAATTGCCAATATTATATATATATATTTTTAGGCAATTTGGGTGGACACCCCCACTATTACTAAAGAAAGCCCCCAGGGGTTTTGAAGTTCTTTTCATAACCTTTTTTTTAAACACAATAAAGAAGAAATACAATACAATGCTAAAAACTTAAGAAGGTGGCATAGAGAACCTAAATCACCAGAAAAGAATGATGATTTTGATAATATCTGTACAAAAACAAAAGAGTGAATTCCAGCTATCATTTAAAGAATTCGCACTAAGCAGACCTAAAGAAACTAGGCAGACGGGTCCCGGAGGTGACTATATTCTCAGGGGAACCCAAGGAGCGTGGGGAAACAAAAAGCAATTAGCATCAGACTTAGCTTTGTCCTTTCGCCTATGATGCCCCCTCAGCCGGGATGATTTGACTGTCTTTTACTCTGGGAATTTGCCCACGGATCAAGTAGAAGAGTACCAGACGCAACTTACGGTATCTAGCAGTCTTATCACCAGTAAAAGGCACACAATGTCTTTTAAACCACATACTTGGCACTGGGAGCGTTTGAGGCCAATCCCCCCCATTTTTTTAGAGTGGAACCCTTTACAGGTGTTAGGGGGTAAAAATTTGGTTGGTGGGTGGATTGGTGGTGGATGTTGGTGAG